TTTATCTTTTAATTTAATTTGCAATATCGCGTGATCTAGTGGTCAGAATCGAATATTTTTGATACCATTCGATTCGTCTTATTGAGACGAATCGAATGGTACCAAATCGCTTGATTCTGATTACTATATCACGTGATATTGGCCGTCGAAGTTACTTGCGTCATAATACCTCTCTTTACCTTATATAGTATATTATTTTTTAAACAATATATTATAGCATAGATATAGTAGCTTAGTAAAGTAATCTAGTCACCACTTTACCAAGTGGCAAATTCAAAGTTCAAATCCCACAGATAACATTTTTGAAAAATAAGCTTATGTTATAGTAATAATTATCTTTCAATCAGTTGGGTTCTAGAACCTGCAATCTTGGTAACACCATGTTTATATAGGAGCTTTAGCATATTAAAAACTAAGAAACTGGGATAATCAAAACCTGTTTGGAAAGACCCGAGTAAGAAGTAGCTATAATCTTTGATATTACTACAGGAAAGACTTAAATTTGAAAGTTAGAACCAAGATTGAAAAACCAAATGACAATAATTAAGGGGTTAGGGGTAGAAATATTTGTATAATAAAATATCGTAGCAAAAAATGTGAAGTATAAATTCGTCAGATTATATCTAATAGACAGTAAGCCCATTTGCCAATTTTCTTTCATAGTGGTGGAGAATAATTGTCTAGAATATCCTAGTGGGGGTCTGGTAGATTAGAGAAATTAAGGGGATATGAAGGTATGCCTTTAAAATTAAAGTGGTTTTGTAGTTCTGCAATGGTCCTTCCCATTTTTTCTTGTTTAGTAATAACTACTGTAAAATAAACAAAGTTGATTGTTGTCGAATAAAATAATATAATATTGATAGCAAAGTCACATATTTATGGTCGAGATGAAAATATCTTGATTATTACCTAAGTCTTTTACAAGAATATTTAATTGTATAGTGGTTCTGGCCACCTAAATTTCAACAACTCCGAACTGATTACTAGTTGGCCTACACAATAAATCTAAAAAACTCATTTCATCCAAAGTCTTTCTCTATAATTTAACATCATTATCATCCTTCTTGGAATTATAACAAATAATATAAGAGCATTCTGTGAATATAAATTCTGCAATTTTCCTATAATATTTTAGCAACCCCATGATATTAGGTTTCTTTCTCATTCGTTCTTTATCCACTCTTGCATTTCTTCGAGCCTTGCTTGCTATGCTCTGGCGTTTTGCAGTATTTAAGCAGATACTACTATTGAGTAAATTCCCCAAACTAGATCGAAGCAAGAGTATTATAATATCTAAAATATAAGTTCTCTCACTTTGTTTGCAACGCAACATACTACTCTCAAATACTGGATTGCACCATTTTTCACCACTAATAAAAGCATGTTAGGATATTTATAAATATTAATTACTTAGGAATCGGAATACTACTTACAGTGTATTAAGAATGTGTTCAGTAATTTCTAACAATTTTCTATTACTTTCTTTCCATGTTTTGTCATGAAAAATATTTCTTGTGGTCTGTGAAGTAATAGAATTATTGAAACTATCCACAAATTCATCATATTTTGTTATAACTGATTGGTGAATAGCACTTTTCATATTTTCTCACGGTTCTAAAAAAATTTCTTTCTACCTAGATCCCAGGTTTTTAATTATATTCAAATCATCACTAAGCACTATATTTGCTTCAGGATCATGCCACATAAATTCTAAAGAATTTAAATTTTCGAGAATTTGCCTGAGTGAACCATAAAGATTTATATCTCTTTTTGATTTTGGATACTAAATTTATTAATTTCCAGATAAAAATTATATCATTCTATCAAACAACCTAAGACATACATCAAGTATAGATTTTAAATTTTCAAGATTTGTTACAATCTTATTTTGTTTATCATCCGAAGATAATTCTCTTTTTATATTTAATGCTTTAAATGCTTTCAAATCTCGAATATTAATATATCCACTTGTAATTTATGATAAATAAATAATAATCAGT